CTATATGACTTCTCATGGCAACCCTAGAAGGAAGATAGCATGTACTGCATCTTACAGATATGGAGATGGAGCCTCAGAAAAGTTTAGTGATCAGCGACAATTCAAAGCGGAGCCAGGAACCACAAAAGTCTTCCCTTCAAGAGCCGAGGTCACCATATCTGTTTCTTCCAGCAATTCACAAGGACCTAGGATTCCCCAAAACAAAGTCCTCCTTTCATAGAATCCAGAACATGCTCCTTTGTCCCCAAGCACCAGGGCCCTAGCACATCCATAAACATCCATTGCCCCCCACCCCCGCAACAGAGAGAAAGAGCAACAGCTAACATACACTTTACATGCACCCTTGTTTTTCATCTTTCCAACAGCTCCTCAGGGTGGGCAAAGATTATTATTATTATTATTATTATTATTATTATTATTATTATTGTTATTATTATTATTATTATTATTGACAGGGTTTCTCTGTGTAGCAGCCCTGGCTGTCCTAGAACTCACTCTGGAGACCAGGCTGAATTTGAACTCAGAGATCCACCTGCCTCTGCCTCCCAAGTACTGGGATCAAAGGCGTGCACCACCATACCTGGCTTGGCCATAGTTACTGTTATTACCATTTTTATCTTTGTTTTTTTGAGACAGGATCTCAGGCAAGTCAGGCTAGCCTCAACTTGTCAATTTTCCTTCCTCTCCCAGTACTGGGATTAAATCGTGTGCTATCGTGCCTAAAGTTTCCCACTTTAAAACCATTTAACATTTTAATTTTAATTTTACGGGTTTTGCCTGCTTGTATGTATGTGCACTGTATGCATGCAGTGCTGATAGAGGCCAGAAGAGGGCACCAATACCCTAGAACTAGAGTTACAGTTGTGCGCTGCTACGTTTGTGAAGGGAATAAGTCAAGTTCCCCTGGAAGAACAGCAAGTGCTCTTAACTGCTGAGCCACCTCTCCAGCCCCTCCCCACCCTTTGTTTTGTTTTGTTTTCGAGACAGTTTCTCTGTGTAGCTCTGGCTATCCTGGAACTCACTTTGTAGATCAGACTGGCCTTGAACGCATAGACATCTGCCTGCCTCTGCCTCCCTAGTGCTGGGTATTAAAGCTGTGTGCCACTCCTGCCCAGCTCCTCCTCTCCGTTTTAAATGATCAAGCCCAGGGTCAAGGCTCTACCACTGAGCTGCACCTTCAGGCTCATCCTTACCTCTAGAATGGATTCAAAGCTATGGAGATTTCAGGAACTTTACTCCCAGACCTAGGGAGTAAAGATATAAGGGTCTGAGTCCCAGTTATTGGAGTTGAAAAATGCAGCTCAAGCACTTATTTAAGTGGTGGACTCCATTCCCTTTGTGGAAAACATCTGAACAAGAAGATAGTGGTCTCAGCACTGGGCATTCCTGTAATTCCTGCACTTGGAAGGTGGAGGCAGGAGAATTAGACATTGGAGGCCAGCCTCTGATACATAGTGAGTGATTTTGAGGTCAGACTGGGTTACACCTCACTCTGAGGTCTCGCACTTTGCAGGTATATTAGACTTTTACAATGTGTCTTTTCTCTCCAGTGAAAGTAGACCAGGATGTGCTCCTTATTGGCTTAAAGTGCCTGTGTAGAAGGCTGGCTTTGGAAAAGGCCAAAGGTGAACCACAGCCTTTTTCCCAGGCTGCTTCTCCAGTTTTAGCCACATTCACTCACAGACCGGGCATTTACCTGCCACCCTGAAATGATCTTTGCCTCCTCGATGTTTGCAGCACTGGGTTCCCCATCCACTCCTTGTGCTCTGTAGAACCAACCTGGGAGAGGTTCGGTTTCGAGGGGGGCAGATACCCATCCTTAAGTCTGTTTCCTGTTCCAAGAACCCTGCAGGGGTAAGGATCCTGGACTGACTGGGTTTACTGAAATTAGCAAGTGAAATTTTGTTTTTGTTTTTGTTTTTGTTTTTTTTTGAGACAGGGTTTCTCTGTGTAGCTTTGGAGTCTATCCTGGCACTTGCTCTGTACACCAGGCTAGCCTCAAACTCACAGAGATCTGCCTGCCTCTGCCTCCTGAGTGCTGGGATTAAAGGCATGTGGAGACAATGCCCCCCATTTTTTTTTTTTTTGAGACCTTATCTCTAGACCTTAGAGTTGTTTCAGGATCCTAGCAGCACATCAGGTTGGAAGACTTATCTCAATAGCAGACAGCCTGGCAAATGATTTTTGTTGTTGTTGGAGCTTTTGTTTTCATTTTTAAGACTGGATCCCACTATGTAACCTAGGCTGGCCTTGAACTTGCAATTCTCTCTGCAATGCTTGGATTGTAAATATGTACCCACATGAAAGTTGACAAATCACCTTTTATTTTTATTTATTTATTTATTTGTTTGTTTTCCTCCCTGTAGCACTGGCTGTCCTGGAACTCGCTCACTCTATAGACTAGGCTGGGCTTGAACTAAGAGATTCACCTGCCTCTGCCTCTCCAGTGCTGGATTAAAGGCTTGAGCCACCACCACCAGGCTAATGTTTATTTTATTTTTTTGTAATTTAAATCATTCCTTTGTGTGTGAGTACATGCTTGTACCAGAGTGCACATGTAGAGGTCAGAGGTCAAACTGCAGAGTTAGTGCTCTTCTTTCATCATGTGTGTCCTGAGGTCAGTAGACTTGGTGGGGAGTGCCTTTACCCAATAAGCCATCACGCTGGAACTGTCTAAAAACAAGACAGGGTTTCTCTGTGTAACAACTCTGGCTGAATTCAAGGCCAGCCTGGTCTACAGAGCTAGTTCCAGGACAGCCAGAGGTGTGATTTTGGGCCATTTTTGTGTGTCAAAAGTCCTCAATGCTCCATAGGCCCAGCATGGTGGGACACACTTTTAATCACTCAGGAGACAGAGGCAGGAGGATCTCTGTGAGTTTGAAGCCAGCCTGGTCTACATATAGAACTCTAGGACAGCCAAGATTACATATGGAGACCATTTCTCACCCACCCCCCACCCTGACACACACAAACTAGTCCATACATCTCCTATAGGATGTTCAGTCCCCTGGGTCTAATTACCCATTGTTTTATGATGTCAAGATTCCAAAATCTCAGGGTCTAACCCTATAATCATCAAAGAAAAACTGAGGGAAAAAAAGAGAGGGAAAATGATTTGCTTGAACTTCTGTAGTCAGAGGTGACCTTTGTCATTGCCACTTTGTTTCCATAGGATGTCAAGTTCCTCAAGAGAAGGTGCTTTTACACCCTCTGCCCTCCCCCGGCATTCTTAGAGCATGCTATGCACAGAGAAGATACTACAGATGACATGTGTAAGAAACTACAGATGACATGGGGGGCACATTTGACAATTGCTGATACTTGTGTTGTTGAACTCATTGGCTTGGACTCCTAAGCAGTTAGGAGGGACCCTAGACACTCCAGGAATTTCTTGGTCCCAGTTCCAGGTACCAGCAGGGGGATGGAGGAAAACAGGCTTTCTTCCCAGCCAGCTGGACTTCTGCTCTTCTTACTGCTGGAGGGATAAGAAGGCTCCCTGTGGGCCACTCCAGGTCCCTGGAGAGCACTGGATGCTGAAACCTTATCCCAGGGTCCAGCCCCTACTGCAGGCTTCTGAGGCCCTGTTATTCTTTAGCCCCTATGCAGCAGCTGGCAGCTGAGAAAGGGTCTCCATCAATGTGAAGCCTGCAGACCAGGGGACTGTCAGCCCTTCTCTGCCCTCTTTCTGGACAAACATTAAACGTCGTGATGTTTTTGAGATGCTATGACAAATGGGTGGCAGCTATGCCTGGAGTAGTCTTTATTTTTAAACAAATTCCCAGCTTCTTGTAGGAGTCTCGGTACTGGTTTTCCCTAGGCGTTGTCATTACTGAGTGTAGCAACAGTGACCTGCCCCCAGTCTCCAGATCAGTAAGGTAAGAGGCAGGAGGCCTGGGGAAGTACACAGGTGTCAAGAGCTAGGTAATGCTGTCAGCAAGGAGTGACTCAGGCACACACCACTAGTCAGTCCTTCCTATGTTTGTTTTCAATTACAACTCCAGACTAGAGCTAGCAGGAAGAGCCAGAAACATCCTCAGACACCAACATCATCTATGAAACCATCAAGGCCCTCCTTACTGCTTTATTTCTGAGTCTCACTCTTTAGTCCAGGCTGGCCTCAAACATAATATCCTCCTGCCTCAGCTGGGACTATGCCCTTTTATAGACAAAGAGACCGAGAACCAGCGTAGTGGTGATTTACCCAAGGCCATCTGGTCTGTTACTATTCTCCCAACATTGCAGAGTCAAGTGTGACTGTGTGTTGGGTGCTAGGCTTCTCTCTGCCTAATACTCAGAGGTAAAGGCCTTAGGGATGAGGAGGAAAGGGAAAGAAAGGCCTTGAGTTTCATCTTAGTACCATATAAACTGGGCAAAGTTATGCATTTCTGTAATTCCAGCATTCAGCCATTGGGGGCCAAAAGATCAGAAGTTCAAGGTCATTCCTGGGATATATGAGATCTATCTCTAGCAAATGGGAGGAGCAGTCAGGAGAGTCATCCTGAAGCTCATGGGCTAACTAGCCTGGAATACAGGGCAAAGAGTCAGAAACTCAGAAAAAACAGGGCAAAGAGCAAAAACCAGTTTCCAGAAATTGTCTTCTGATCATTAAACACACACTGTGGCTAATGGATACCCGCACTTACCAATACATCCTAGGCACTCCCCCCTACACTCTAGTCTAATTTTTTCATCAAAGAGATGGATGGATGGATAGATAAACAGAGGGTCCCATTCATATCCCATTGGGGGGTGCACACTTTTAATCCCAGCACTAGGGAAGCAGAGGCAGGCAGATCTTGAGTTCCAGGACAGCCAAGGCTACAACAGAGAGACCCTGTCTCAGAAAAAAAAAAAAAAGTGTGAGATAAAAAGGGAGAAAGGAAACTTCCTCACTCTTGTATGATAGAACCCAGAACTTTTCCTGGGAAGATGCAACCCACTATTCATCCCAGACAGGGAACCTACAACAGATGAAAGTACAGATATCACCCAAGTCCAACTTGGTGAGTCAATGAGTTTTATTCGGGTGACTTACAGGAATGAGGGTGAGGGGTTACATACAAGAGCAGAAATGGCTCATAGACAACCGAATCACCAAAGCCCACCCCAGCATGGGTGACAGCTCCCAAAGCTGGGAAATGGGAGCTCACTGTATAGCTTGTAGGTGGCTTAATGGGTTGGCAAATGTCCTTCCCAGGTGCCTCGGTTGCTCTAACCCTTCTCCAGGCTGCTCTTCTTTGCAGCTGGGCTCTGCTTACTCTGCTAGGGAGGGGCCTGCCGAATCTGGTCAGTTTCAGAGAATTCTTGAAGCTCCTGTGCCGGAGAGAATGTTTTGATCTCTGAGAAAAGAAACTGTTACACAACACTCACCTCCCAAAAAAAAAAAAAAAACCTAGAGGGAGGGATGGAGAGAGGGATCAGGGATCTTAAAGGATTTGTGTAGGGCCACACAGTGAGACCTATGCCAAACCTAGGCTTCCTATTATACTCTGCAGTTCTTAGCCATGAATAACAACACCACATTTATCCTTTCCTTCTTAAATAGAGACTCATATGGACCAGGCTCCCAAACTCAATATGTAGGCAAGAGAATGACCTTGAATTTCTGCTGCTCCTGCTTCCACCTCCCATGCTGAAGATCAGACTCAGGGTTTGTGCTTGTTAGGCAAACACGTCACCAACTGAGCCACATCCTGGCCCCTGACATAAACTTTCTTCCAGCTCCAGAGCTTATTGTAAATAGTCCTGGGGCAAGACTGGCCTTAAGCAACCTGAGATGAAGGTATGCCATAAATTTCAAAGCCTATGACTGTGCTGGATATTGTCATATCTGCCAACATATCTAATTTTGTACTTACTGAGTATCCAGACTAAGAGAGACCTCAGAGAACAGAAGCCTGAAGTCCTGTTTTCCAGATAAGGAAACCAAGACCCTGAGGGGAAGTTACATCTAACATCTTATCTTGATGTGATTCAAAGGCCCTAGGTTCCCTTACCTCCTGGCCTGGCCTGACAGGAGGTCTTCTCTACAGTCCCTATAGTATTTTGCATCATGATGGCATTGGGACTTTTCAGTATTCTCAATGAAGTCTTGCTGAATGGAATATGTGCAAGACTCCTTTGTGTGCAAGATGCATTTGACAGTTGGTGAAAACTTTGGGTTGTCTTTGATAAATCTCTAATAAGTGACCATTGCTTGCGTTAATCAGCTCAGTTCTTCCCCATTCTCTGTTATTTTCTGCCAGAGGCTGTATTCAGCAGGACAATGCTGTTTCTACTGCAGTCACTCAGGATACAGTTACTCTTTGGAGGCACAGGAGACAACTTAAATATAGCCCCACCAAGGACCAGAACTATGGGCTGGAACTTTCTGCCCTCTGGAATTCTGAGTGTGGATCTAGAGATTTTTTTTTAACCCAAGAAAAATTCTGAGTGAGGGTTTAAAGATGAAGGCACATTGAAGCTGGGTACTGCTTCCAGGTGTTACCAACCCTACAGGATGCAGCGCAGACCCAGGGCATCTGAGGGGAACGGAGAATCCACGTGGATGCTGCTAGCCTTCAATCACAGAGGAAGATGGCTTTACCCCCCTGCCCCAAGTCATGGCCAGAACATTTTCTTGATTGCCAAATAGGAGAGGAACAACTGTAGGGCCCCCAGCAGTGACAGTTAACTGCTCCCCATCCTTCTCTCAGCCCCTGTCCAAAGTCCAGTTGTGCTACCACTTGTCATCTGTAGCACTCTACAGTAAGTGTGTGGCTCTCCACTGGGACAGATTTTTTTCTACCAAGAAGCCAAATCCACCACTGGTTCCCATGATCGGGAAGTTCCCCAGTCAGCTGCTGGGTTCCATTTGCAGGCTCACTCTACCTGGGGAAACTGAGTGAATGGTTAAAGAGATTTCTCACTCTATTCCAGTTCCTATGGTAAACAGTCCTGGCAAGAGTCCCTGCTTATCCTAGGGGACTTATAACAGTAGACAGATCCGTTTTCTGTCAGAGCCAGAAAAAACGCAGTTCTGTCTCCCCAGAAAGGGGCATGTGTAGAAGGGATGCTGGGTTATCAGCATTGACTTACCTGAGAAGGGGAGATCTGAAGATTTATCTTCAGTATGGTAAGTTCTTTTAAAAAACAAAAAACCCTTACTAATGTTATTATGTTTTAGATCGACTTGCACTATATAGACCAGGCTAGCCTCTAAGTCACAAAACTCTACCTGCCTCTGTCCCCTAAGTGCTGGGATTGAAGGTGTGTGCAGCCACACCCATCTTAAATTCTTCTAAGACAGTTTCATGTAGAACAAGCATTCTTGAGCCTGCTATGGGTGAGCCTGACTTTGAACTTGCGATCCTCCTGCCACCACTTCTCAAGTGCTAGGATTACAGGCACACACCATTATGATTGATATATATATATATACTCCCTGGATATTGAAGATTGAACCCAGAGCCTTACATAAAATAACTACGTTCTGCCACTGAGCTTACCCCTTGACCTCCCACTTGGCAAGTTCTTGTGACTTCTGGAGCATTTGGCTGCTGGGAGTCAGAGATGATGATCTCAGAGACCTCCTAAGAGAGGCCTGGAGTTGCAGGCTTGAGGGCCCTGCCTTCCACCAATCCTGGCTCCCTGTGTGTAGAGAATAGAGATCTGGGTTTGAATCCCAGAATTACTTCTATGAAGTTTTTGGCAGCTATTTAACCTGTTTTAGTCGTGGTTCTTTCTTTTTTAATTTTTGTTTTTTATTTTATATGCATTGGTGTTCTTGCCATGGGTATCAGGTCCCCTGGAACTGGAGTTACAGACAGTTGAGAGCCACCATGTTGTTGCTGGGAATTGAACTCAGGTCCTCTGGGAGAGCAGTCAGTGCTCTTAACCGCTGAGCCATCTCTCCAGCTCCTCTTGGTTCTTTCATGTATGGAATGAGATGTGGCCGGCTAAGCTGTTCCTTGAGGTAGTTATTGGCCACCGTCTGTCATACAGTGTCCTTGACCTGTACTTTGTACCTAGGATTGTGTGAGATGAGAGGTTAGATGCTAGAAAGATGTAGGGTCTCATCATCTCCCTTTTCCCAAACAGCCTATAACCAATGTAAAACATAAGCAACTGAGGAATCCCAAGCCACTTCCATGAGACAGCTTAGGGGCTGGGAGGCGGATGGCTCAGTGGCTAGTGCTTTAGAACACTGACTGCTTGACTGCTTTTTTTGTTTGTTTGTTTTGTTTTTCGAGACAGGGTTTCTTTGTGTAGCTTTGGAGTTTTGGGTTTGGAGGCTGTCCTGGAACTAGCTCTTGTAGACCAGGCTGGTCTCGAACGCAGAGATCTGCCTGGCTCTGCGTCCTGAGTGCTGGGACTAAAGGTGCTTGGTTTGTTCTTTTAACATTCATTCACCTTGGTCAACAGAGTTCATCAAGTCTCTCTAACGCCATTCCAGTAGATGTGCAGATTCATAGTTTTCTTAGATTCTCCTGGTTTTCTTAGCGCTTGGAGCTTAGTAGCAAAACTTGTGCTTCGTATGCATAAGGGCCTGGTTTCATACCTAACTTTCTCCTCACAAAGAACTTACATTAGAGAAGGAAACAGGTACTGAACCAATAGTGCTACAAAGAGATACATGTTTACCGATTATTATCAGAGTCAGTGAAAGCATATATAACGAAGGGATCTAGTTTAATTAAAAGACTAAGAACGGCCCTTTCAGGAAGTAATATTTAATTGAACTCTGGCAGATGCATTTAGGGAAAGAGAAGGGAGGAGGGGCATTCCAGAAATCAAAAATGGAAAGAAGCTTGTGCAAAGCCTGGAAGAGCAAGGGACACATTTTTCAAGAACTGGAGAGAGAAAGATACAGGGCCGGACTTCAGAAAGCTAAACTTAGAGGTAGGGATCATGTCATGCTCAAGCTTTGGGCTGGTATTTTTTCCAGATCCAGGAGAGGACCAGCTGCAGCTAAATCTCCTGGGTTGTATTTAAAATGAAGATTTCTGGGCCTCTTTCCCACTCTGAACAACAAGCTTTGAGGGTGTTGGGGTGGGCAGGGTCCAAGAATGAACATCTCTGAACAAGTTTCTCTGGCGAGTTGTTATACACATTCCTGGACCAGTTTTAGTGAGAAAATCAGAATTGTTTTCAAAACTGTTCTTTGATAGATTTGAATTCTAAATTGTCACTCTGACTTTTGGAGAAGATGGAAAAGGATTCAAGGAGGGTATTAGCTGCCCAGAGGCAGCTACAGTATTTCAGGGAAGGTGCCATTTGACTAAGAACAAGGTGTGAAGATGGAGATGGATGGCTGTGGCCCGTTCATGAGGTACTTTATAAGAAAAAACTTTACTGTTCATTTTATATGCATGTAGCTTCAGATACAGGAACTTAGTGTGCTTTTGCATATACTATTGCTACAAACCAATATCCTCGTTGGGTCTTGCTTTGCTTTTTTCTACTCTCATATACTTTTAAATATTTGTTTATTTGGTTTTTATTTTATTGTTGTTGTTGGTGGTGTTTTTGCTTTTCAAGACAGGGTTTCTCTGTGTAGCTTTGGAGCCTATCCTGGCACTGGCTCTGGAGACCAGGCTGGCCTCGAACTCACAAAGATCCACCTGCCTCTGCTTCTGGGATTAAAGGTGTGTGCCACCACTGCCTGGCTTCCTTTTTTATTTTTGAGATAGGATCTCATATAGCTCAGGCTGATACTAGACTCAAATTCACTGCAGTGAATTTGAGCACTGAAGAATGTTCTTGATCTCTCTGTCTCTGTCTCTCTGTTTCTCTCTCTCTGAGATAAATTTTCTCTATGTAGCTATGTAGTCCTGAATGTCCTGGAGTTTGCTAAGAAGACCAGGCTGGCCTTGAACTTGCAGAGATCCTCATGCCTCTACTTCCCAAGTGCAGAGACTAGAGGCATTAGAGGCATTCACCAGCACCCTCTGCTTTAAAGTGTGTGTGTGTGTGTGTGTGTGTGTGTGTGTGTGTGTGTGTGTGTAAAATGAGCATGTCAGTATAACCATGTTGTTTTTGATGCTGTGTATTGAACCCAGGCCTCAGATGCTAAGCACATGTTCTATTTCTAAGCTATGCTCCAAGCTGTAGACCTATATAATTTTTTTGCATTATTATAGTCCTTTTTTAGGGATCTTAAAGACAGTCTCTTGTCCTGAAGGCTCATTATTTGACAACACTATTGCCAGCTCTTTCTAGATTTTTGCAGAAACATATTCAGATAAGCAGATTAATTGGCTGGCTTTCTATATAATTTTTAGTGCCTGGATGATAACTCACTGATTGGATGTCCCCTAGCTAATTTGCAGATCCCTACCTGATATTTAGGTTGTTTCCAACATTTCACATTATTATAAACAATCTCCTTCTACGCTCATTTTGAAGCACAATATTTCCTTAGAATACATTTTTGCTAGGGGAATTGCTAGGTCATTGACAAAACTATGTAGGTTTTTTTTTTCTTCCAAAACTATGTAGGTTTAATAACACAGTCATGTTGTGTTCCACTGTGGATGACACCAAAGTTGGAGACCAGTAGTCTTTTATGTTCTTGGTTTGCTCCTTTGAAGGCCGGGGACAGTGACAGCCTATGCTGGCTTTCTCCAAGGAGTTTCTTTATCAAGTTGCAACGTTGTGCGGGGTTAGCCACGGTGGGTTAGAGTCCTGTCCAAGCTAAGCTTCCAGCCTCACTGCCCCTGTAGGGTCTTCCACTTCCCAGACAGCCCCTAGGATTCCATCCCCGGATACCCTCCCTCTAGCACGGGAAGGGCGTGTTAGGGAACAGCTCAGGCGGGCAAAGATTGCACCATACACTGTTTGAAAAGGAAGTCGAAAAAAGCGCAGAGAACAAAATCGTAGATCCTACACATCCAGGCCCTGCAGCAGCCGGGATCCGGGTCGTGCTCATTTAATTACTTGGCGCAGAGATCGGATCCCTTCTCAACCACCTCCGCCCCAGCCGAACCTTGGGCCCTTTAAGAAGCTGTCACGGTGGTGCTATTGGCCCCGCCCATCTGGGGGGAGGGCCAGTCGAGAGGGGCGGGGTTCTCGGCTGAAGCCCGAAGGGGGGGGGGTCTGTGTCTATTTTTAGCTCGGGGTCGGGTCACGTGACGGGAGTGACGTCTCCGAATGTTGTTGTTGGTGGCGGCGGCGAGCGGAGCCGGAGGAGCCGCCGCAAAGATGGAGGAGCCGTCGAGGAGGCGCTGCCGCCGCTGCTGCCGCCGCTGTTGCCGCCGTCGCCCGCGAAGCCGGAGCTCGAGTCGCAGCGGGTGAGCGCGTCGCACCCGCCAGGACGCTACCTCCTGCGACCCCGGGACACCCGGCAGCGCCCGGTCCTCCCGCCGTCGCTGCCCGCGGGCTCCCTGCGCCCCTGTCCTTCCTCCGGCCGCGCGCGCCGAGCCAGCCGGCACCCCCAAGGAGCGTCGCGGGGCCGGGGAGTGTCGCCTCTGCCCCGCCCCTCGCGCCCCTCCCCACCCCTCCCTTGCAGGGCTCCTTCTCTGCAGGTAAGGGAGGGGCCGATCTTCCCGCACCCCGCGCCCCCAAATGGCCCGCAGACCAGCCGGGGATGTCTGGTTTGTCTCCTCCCTGGCGGCTCATAATCCGTTGCAACAGCTATTTGAGCCTTGCACCTGGGTTCTGTCTGGGCAGACCCTCTTTTCACTGGACACCCCTTTTCCTACTACTCTGAGGAGAGGGGCACAGCCCACCCACAGTGGCTTCTCCAAGTGGTGAAGAACATACCCTTGATTTTATGTCCTTGACGTGCAAGCAGGTGGAAGGGGACTGCGGGGCCCATCTTACTTCTCTGTGCCATTATTTTCACCCGCTCGCCTCACAGGCGTTACCGCGTTTATTACCACCCTCTTCTGTCTGACACCCTGGAGCTCGAGAAGAAACTGGGAGATGAATTGGTGATCTTCCTTGGCTAGGGTAGATTCCCGCCCCCACCCCGCGCCCAGTTTTCATCTTGGGTCTGTTTCTCATGGGGCAGGGGTTCTATCAGTGCCTTGTTAACTTGGGGGAGTCGGCTTCCCCACCCCACCCATCCCTGAGGCCCTCAGGAAGATGAGACCTGGCTGGGTGATAAGTAATTAATCTAGGAGCTGGGGGCGGGGAGTAGGGTGTGCTTCATTTAGGGGAGAAGGTGACCACTCGATGTCCCTGCCTTTGGCCTTCTAAGATGAGCTTTGTCCCTGAAGAGGAAGGGTAGCAGCCTCAGTTGCTTTTGGGGTGTGTGGAAGGGACTCAGCAATCTGACAGCGACTGTCATCCTCCTGGGACCTGGAATTTGGATCTTGGGGATGGGAACGGGAGAGGGATTTAGGGTTCAAAGGGAGGGGAAGAAAGAGCCAGATCCTAGGAACAAAAGGAGGCAGGGGATGGGAGATTGAGGACTTTGGGCCAGAAGACTGGCTGACCCTGTCATTGGGTTCTGTGGCTCTCCACTTAGCTTCTAAGGGTGTAGGCAGGGAGGATCCTCTGTCTCTGAAGCCCTGTCTGTACACACACTGGGAGTCAGGAGCCCATGCAGGCTGTTGAGATGGGTTTATGGATGAGCCATGTTGGGGGCTGCCTGCTTTTACATTCCAACCCTCCCTTTTCTTTTCCTCCTTAAACAACAGAGCTTGGGGAGAACTTGGTTTGCTTCCTCCTTCTTTCTTAAGTCTTCCCTTTCTCTCTTTCCACTTAGACTTGGATTTGGACTAGGTCTTGTCAAAGATGAGAGCCTGACTTAAAAGAGTAGGCTCCTAGCATCTCGTGACGCACCAGGGGCCAGAAAGGTCCCAGATGCCCGTTCCATGGGGTCAGGCATGTAGGAAATATTTGCTCTGGACCAGTCCCTCCTCTTCCTCAGTGTATCTTCCAAGGAGCATGTAATCTGGAGTGGGGGTAATGGTGTCACATGCACCACCCACCCCAAGTAGCTGCAGAGATAAGAGCTTTGCTTTCCGTTTCTTAGGAGTGATATCTTAGCTGTGTGTTTAGATACGGAACTTGGGGATGGGGGTCATTGTTGTTTCTGTATGGCTGAAGAGCGGGACCAGCCTTAGGAGCTGGGGGCAATGCAGTTGGTGCTGAAGTACCAGCACCTTTAATAATTAATTCTTCCTCCTCACATCCCTTTGAGGAGGGATGTCTGGAACACAGCATCAGGCTCAGCCAGCCTGCTAGAGGACTCACTCCTGTTGGGGGGTGGTGTGAGAAAGAGACAGTGAGGGGGGGCGGCAATTCTTGGCACTTTGGAGCACTGTCGCTTGCTCATGAATGAAAACCTGATGCAGTCAGTGAGGGGGCCTATTGTAGCTGACTTTGGCTAATTAAACTTTCTCTCCCTTTCTTCTCCCCCTGCCCACCTCACCCCAGCTGCAGCCCCAGCCCTTTCTTGAATGGGAGCCCTGTCTGGTAGTGCTGGGGAGGGGGTATTATCATTTTGTCTGAGGTTTTAGGGCAAACAGACCCTGTCTAATGCCCTCTGTCTCCCCCCCCTCCCTTCCCCCTCTTTTTTTTTTTTTTTTTTCTAGAAATAGCAGCCTCCTCCATCTGGCTTGTGCAGATGCCTGGAGCTGCGTCTGAGCACACAAACAGAAATGGGCCGATTGCAAAAATGAATTTGTCAGCCTGGTGCCTTTTTTTCCCTCCCCTGTTGCCTTCCCCCTTTCCCTAGTTTGGGGCCTGCATGGCTTCCATCCTCCTGGACTTCTGTTGGCTCAGCTTGGGGTGGGGGGGGGGCGGCACGAGGCAGTGGAAGCTCTGGGAGGAGACTGGGAACGGTTGTCTGCCGTGGCCGTGGCCGTGGCCGGGAGGAGCTGAGCTGAGAAACCGCCAGGGCCTTTGGGTGGGATCTGTCTGGGCTCTGAGCTCTGCCAGGCAGTGAGTGTTGGGACAAGTGAAGCCCATCTCAGATGCAGAGGATGTGGTTCAAATTGCTAGGCCCGTTCTCTATGACTGACGTAGGGTGTGGCCCCTGACCTGTGAGTGGCCCTGGACTGGGAGCTCAAGACTTGGACCTGCCTCTCTCACACTCAGAGTTGGCATGTTGGGAGTGGGAGGCATGGTGATTCTGGAGGGAAATTTGGAAGGAGCTGTGTGAGGGACAGGATCTCCGTAGGAAGGCATAGTGAACTTGCGGCCCTCAGGACATTGCATGGCTTGGGTCACCTTTTCCTGTGTGCTCTTCCTCCCACCCTCTGCTATAGTTTTTATTGCTGGTGAACGGAGTAGGGCTGGCTCTCTGCTCCCATTTTCCGCCTTCTTCACCTTAGCAGAGCTTGCAGGTAGAGGTTCTGCCCTTCCTTGCACACTTCCTTGCCCCGATACCCAGATGGAGGTAGAAGGTAGGTTCAGACCCTGGAGTAGTCTGGAAGGACAGAGTTGACTACCAGGGTGAGGGGAGTAGGGCTTTGGGGGTCCTGGAATTATACACTGAGTTGTGGTCCATGTGGTGGGTTAGTTCATCAGTTACACAGCTCCTGGCCCCCAGCTACCTATGAAGACCTTCATGTAACAGTAGCAGGCCACATCTCTGCTGAAGAGGTTCACAGAGCACAGGCTGCCTGCTCTTCCCTTGCCCTGTCCTACACAAGAAGCTAAGCCTGTCCCAACCAGGCTGTGAAGGCTTCTTTGTTTCCCAGAAAGCCCTGCTGTGGTTCTTGTTCATTTGGAAGACCCTTGAACTGGGTAGATGCCCTTCGCAGGTGGATAGGACCCCTAGGTCCCACACTGTGGGAAGCAATAGTGCATAACTACATCCTGAATCCTCTGTGAGTTCAAGGAGCTGTTTCATTCCAGAGAGGTGCTAGGTGAGGGTAAGGGGGTTAAGGGCTGAGCGTCACCAATTTTGGGCCCCTTGGGATTATTCCTCTTAAGTGTCCTGCTTTGGAGGTTTTCCTCACTAAATAGATAGGCTGGGCTACTTAGGCTGCTGGTAGTCGTGGGAATTTCTGAACCTGTGTTCCTCAACCCACGGGAAAGGGTGTGAGCGCGACTGGGCGCCAGCCCTTGTGTGGGCTTGGGCTGAGCTGGCCTGCCTACACGGGCCCTGCCAGGACACCAACAGCCCCACCTGCTGCATTCCTGAACTTGGTCCCAGACCTGTGCAGGTTCTTTTCTCTCAGTCTCCATCTTTCAGTCCTGAACCCTGACTGAATATTCCTTTCTGTAGCCACAAAGTCCAAAGCAGTGGGGACTAGCAGGCCGAGGAACTCCGAGTCTTTGCATGTGTTCCTGTGGCCATGCCAAGGAAGGCTTGGGGGCTTCTAGGCTCCAACTGGACTTCACCCCTGGGAATCTTTGATGAGAAGGGAGGGTTTTCAGAGATTTAATACCACCAGGAGATGTGGCTGTCTGGGAGATAGAGCTGTTTGCCTGCTTGGGGCTGGGGAGCACAGTTAGGGCTTCAATGTTGGCAGCTCTGATTGCTTCCTGACACTAGCTCTCATAGGGCATTGGAGAGGCTGGCTTCTTTTGGAAGCAAATGAATGAGATCATGTCTGGGTGGATCTAGGGCTGTTTAGGGATTGGCCCAGGTGGGTGCTGCCTAGTGTCTAAGGCTTGAAGACTATGGGGCCAGGGTGTGGACTCTGGCAAACCCATGGTCCTTTACTGCATTCTCCATTATTCCGTTGACTTTGGTTACTGTTGGCCCTTTTGGTGCCTTTGTATAAACTGGGAAAAGATGTCCCTTGTTCTGGGAGATTCAGTGTGTGTCAGGCCTCTGCTTGACAGGCAGTGTACAGGATGGACTTCATAGTTGCTTCCACAGAGCACAACCTGAGCACCACACAAAGCCCTGGGTTGGGGCCCAGAAACTTCAGCACACTCACAGGGAGTGCTGGATCTGTTTGACTTTCCTAATTCATGAAACACACTCTTGTGCCCTGACTCATTATGATGTTGGGAAGACAAGAAAACATGTTTCAATTTCCAGAGACTTAGGATACAGGGAGAAGATGCCTGGCCTGAGAGTTCCAGGACTGCTGGGCTGGGTGTCAGTTCCTCCCTGAACTTAAAAAAAAATTTCTTTTGTTTGTTTTGTTCTTCGAGACAGGGTTCTTTGTGTAGCCTTGGTTGTCCTGGAACTTGCTCTGTAGACCAAGCTGGTCTCAAACTCACAGAGATCTGCTTGCCTCTGTCTCCTGAATGCTGGGATTAAAAGTATACACCACTACCAACCAGCTGAGTTTTAAACATTATTTATTTATTTATTTATTTACTTATTTATTTTGAGACAGGGTTCTTTGTGAACTAGCTCTAGAGCAGGCTGGTCTCTAACTCAGAGTTCTGCCTGCCTCTTCCTCCCTAGTGCTGGGATTAAAGGCATGTGCCACTACCACTCAGCTGAATTTTAAAACATCATCATCATCACCATCATCGTTATTTATTATTTGGTTTTTTTTGTGTTTTTTTTTTTTTTTTTTGAGACAAGATTCTCTGTGTAACAGTCCTGGTTGTCCTGGAGCTTGCTTTTGTAGACCAGGCTGGCCTTGAACTCACTGAGATCCACTTGCTTCTGCCTCCCAAATGCTGGGATTAAAGGTGTGTACCACCACCACCAGGCTTATTATTATTTTTTTAGTTACATTTATTTGTGTGTTTTTATGTGTGTGTGTGGTTGTATATATGGCACAGTGGATACATGGAGGTCAGAGGATGACATTTATGGGTTGATTCTTTTTTTCTACCATGTGGTTAGGATTGAACTCTGGTCATCAGATTTGGCTGCAAACACTTTTACCAGCTGAACTGGCCCTGGTGTTTATTTTGGAGGCAGGATCTCCTGTAGCCCTGGCTAACATTAAATTTATGTAGTCAAGTTTGACCTTGAACTTCTGATCCTCCTAAGTTCTGGAACCAAAGGCATATGCTAAGGTACCCAGTAGCTCTCTCCCTGAACCTCTGCCAGGGATCCAGATCAGCCCAGCCTTTCCCATAGCCACAAATTGTGGCCAGAAACTTCCTGTACATCATTGGTGACAACTAGTCCCACATTAGGTCCCTTTCAGAGTCTGTAAGGGCTCCACAACTGGCACTGGACACTGATGTCTGCAGAGGCTGATGTAGCCAATTCCTGTCCTATGGACATCAATTAGGAAGGGGAGAAATAAGAGTCTGGTCCAGTTCTGTTTGTTTCCTATGTGCCCCGGGCAGATGGCCCTCCCTCTCTTCCCAGGTACAAGCTGACCACTCCAAGGTCTCCCTTGGCTCTCAGAGTTCTGAGTTAGGGACCTCTAACCCTGCTCCGTCTCTCCCCAGGGATGCCGTTCTGAGTGCCTGACTGCCTCACCCCGAAGGATGGCCTTGGATGGGCATTAGAGGCATTGCGGCCCCGGGCTCCTGTCCCATCCGTCTGTCTGTTATCGTCTGTCTCTCTTGACATCACCGCAGCTCCACCCCCTCCCGTCCCAGCCCCCAGCGCCAGCTTCCTGCAGGCCCAGAGCCGGCATGAACTCTCCCAACGAGTCGGGTAAGAGCTAGGAGGTTGGAGAGGAGCCTCCTGGGGCAGTTTTGGATACAATGGGCTGTGTGGGTTTCCTGCCCAGGCCAGCTGACTGCCAGTGTCTGAACTGTCAGGGAATGAAGGGGTCAAGAGTGGAGAACATCACACACACATACAAAAGACAGAGACCAACTATGAGGCAGACCTGGTATGAGGCCCACCTGGGAACCTTCTGGGCAGGCTTGGGTCTCCCTCTGCCCCCATGCCTGCCTTCAACACGAGAGCTTTGGGTACCTGAGATGGTGGTGTGAATCTCTCTGGGTAGCCTGGGACAGCACTGGGAGCATTTTCCTGGATACAACTGAATGTTCATGCTTCTTGTGGTGGTGGCGGCTTCCCTGGCTGGAGTGTCTCTCGTTCCTTCCTTTTTCCTGGTGGAGGGTTACAGGGCCCTGTGCCTTAGGCTTGGATATAGGATAGGATAGGAGTGGAGATTTGTGTTTGCAGAAGAGTCGTGGCCCTCTGCTGAGTGCAAATGGATCACCCTCTTCCTCTTGGTGGGCTCAAGTTCCCATTGCTCTCTTCGAGGACCTACTCAGTGCTGCCAGGAATAGTGTGGGGGTGGGACTCTAGGTAGCTTTCTGTTTGGGTGTGTCCAGTTACCTTGAGCTGGACCCTCAAGAGTTTCCCAGGAAGTCACAGGTTAGTGTGGTCAGAGTAGTAACTGCCTTTTGTCCTCAGCTATCTCCTTCTGCAGTCTGAAAAGTTCAGCGTCTATCCTGTCCAACCTTAACGCTTCCCAGCACATCCTGTCCCTGTATCATTTTCTGTAAGCATGGATGGATGAATATTTTCCCTTTAGAGAAAGGTTAGTTGAGGGAATTGGATAAAAATTGAACTGCAAGAAGAAGGGAGGAATCCAGCCCCCGACTTCATTCTGGGTTTGTGGTTCTTCCTGGGGTTGTCTTATCCTTGCCTTCATTCAATCCTTAAGGGTTGTTCCAGGTAGGCTCTAGAGCTCTGGCTTCCTGCCTCCTCCATCCTCTTTGGCTGGGTCCTGCGAGGGATGGAAGAGGCCTGATGACTATTCGTCAGTCCCTTAGTTCTGCTCTTTGTGTGACTGGCAATAATGCTGCTTGCTTCCTTTCTGAGACATCTTCATTCTCTATTTCACGTGGGGATTGGAAGCTGACCTTTGACCAGGGCCACAGAGGCTGCCCAGGACCAACTGTTGGTGCTTGGGATGGACATTTCCTAGCTGTAGGGTTTCATTCTATTGCAAGGAAAGGTTATTATAATCCACCTAGGGAGAGTGAGTTACTAGGCTGTGTTCTAGACACTGATGGTCCAAGTTCTCACAACCATCCTGCCATTGCTGGCAGGAGCGTGCTATAGCTGGAGGTGTGCACCAGTCTGGCAGCTTCTGAGCTCTGGCAGGATAGGTATCTTTGGTGACCTGCCTCCTGGCTGGCTTTCCAGCTGCCCCCAGCAGGGGGAGATGCTGTCTTTTCCATGTATGGGAGGGAGGGAGAGAAAGAGGGGGACACAGGATATAGAACTATATTTTAGGACTATTAAGAGGCTTCCAAACAGGGGTCTTTGCTTATGGCAAGAGGGGAACTGCCCTGGCCCTTTCCAGCACTTCCGGGGCTGGCTACACTAGCTGCCCTCTGCCATGGAGACAGACAGTCTGCACACAGCTTTTACTCTTTGAGGGGCTCAGCATCTGTTCTCTTGAGTTCAGCTGGCATCTGGGTTGGGGCTGCTGATGCCCAGAGCCTGGCATAAGCTGGGAACTACATCCATTGGGGTTCCACAGAAATAAAGTGAAACCACAATTTGTAACTAGAGCACATAGGTGCCCACTTACGTCCCTGTGGATACCTGGTAGAAGGCCCCCCAAGAAAGAAAATTTAGAGCATTGGGACTGGAGCATAGACAGGAGGGAGTGATGACTGTGACTGGTCGCTCTCCACATCCTGGCCCATTTCCTCCTTTCTCCCTAGGGCATACAGCCCAGGGCAGGTACATCAGGGTGCTTTCTCCCTGTCCCCTGGCTCCTCTCACCATACGTTTTGGTTTAACAAGTCCTTGCTTGGCATCACCAACGAGGCTGGCCTGTGGTGGAGCAAAAAGACAGGAAATGGTCCATCCCTGCTGTCCCAGCCCGAAAGTCAGCATGCAAGTTCCTGCCAAGTGGTGGCAGATGGAGATTAAGTGATTGCTTCTGGGCCCACCACTCCGGGCAGTGGACACGCAATTTGTGTACCTCTGGACTGGGCTGCATGCCAGCACTTGACCTCATCTGCCTCTCTGGACATCTGAGTTGTCCTGCTTCCCTGAAGAGGCCAGTCTGCTCCCCTCTACTTTTCTCTTTAGGCAGAGGAGGGTGCAAAGGGTGAGTGAAGTATTCGTTTTTGTTTGTTTGTTTCTTTTTGTTTTTTGAGACAGCATTTCTCTGTGTAGTCCTGGCTATCCTGGAACTCACTTTGTAGACCAGGCTGTCCTCAAACTCACAGAGATCTGCCTGCCTCTGCTTCTCGAGTGCTGGGATTAAAGGCGTGTGCCACCACTACCCAGCTTTCTTTTCTTTTTTTGTTTTTTCAGCACAGTGTTTCTCTGTAGTTTTGGAGCCTGTCCTGGAACTCTCTCTATAGACCACGCTGGCCTAGAACTCACAGAGATCTGCTTGCCTCTGCTTCTTGAGCAATGAGATTAAAGGTGTGGGCCACCACTGCTATCTTCTCCTTTCTTTCTTTCTTTCTTTCTTTCTTTCTTTCTTTCTTTCTTTCTTTCTTTCTTTCCCTCCTCCTTTTTCTCCTCCTCCTTCTTTTTTGGTGGTGAGGCATTTTTTATTTTTCTGGAACTGTCCTGCCTGTACCTTCTTTCTCCTCCATGGGGTTAAAGACTGATAGATTCTGTAGCAGCAGCTTTGGCTTGGCACCACCCCCTTGGAGAAGCCTCCCTGGGACCTAGGACCTCGACTGCCCTGGTCATACCCTGTTCTCAGTGCCATTGCTTAGAGAGGGACAAGGATGTGGCCTGCCATGCGATCCTGTCTGGAGGAGGCATCCAGGTTCCGCATCCCCAGCATGGGAGGGAGATGAGCTTCATGGTAACACCTGTCTGCCCAGCACCTCCCAGCACCCTCTACACTTTCTCTCCTTCTCTTTCCTAGGAGGGAGGGTGGCTTCCCCCTCCCTTTGGGGTGACCAGAGAAACTGGGGCATGGGTGTGGGGTGGAGCCAGGAACCTTGGCGTCCTGTCTCCCTGCCTCAGGCTCTGCTTCTGAGCCCCTGGGAGGGCAGGCAGCCAGCCAGAAGAGAAAGTGGGTCACTGCTGGCATGGGCAGGGGTCTGAGGAAAAGACCCTCCAGCCTCCCTTCTCTCCTGAGGTGCCCTGACAGATTGGAATCTGTTCTCTCCTTCTCTCCCTTGCTTCATCATCCCAGAGATATTGAAGGCTTAGGACTGGATAGTGAGAGGAGGCAGGGTCCACCAGAGGGGTGTTGGAAGATGCCAGAGTAGGTGTTCACATTTTTCCTGCAGTTGGTTTTAAGTGAAAAGATTCAGCCAGTACCTAACCGTGGACCTGGCTCATGGTAGTCCTGGGTGATACTGACATGCCCCAGCATGACAGGGTTCAAAGGGACGAACTAGAGGGTAGTAGGCAGGGTTGATGTTTCCAGGGCACCTCACAGTCCAGGGTCTCAGGGCCGGCCTTGGGCTTTTTGACTACATGAAGCAGCATTTCTCTCCCAGTTCAGTCAGGGCCCTCTACCAGCCTTTGGGCTGAGGAAATGAGAGCTGGAAGAGATCAGGAGGCAGCATTGGGCTCTCCTTCTACCCCAGCTTTAGAGGATTTGAAGGCCCAGAGTGTAGAGGGAGGGGCACAGGTACTGCTGCTGTGGAAGATAGAGCTGGTTCTAGAGCCCAAGCTGGGCTTGAACTTGCTGGTGCTGGGTGTGCATGTGTTTCATGGAGCACATTTTTAGTGAGTACTTGGTGAGATCTGTGGGATAGGGCTTGGGAGCTGGAGATAGTTAGGAATGGAAATGTAAGCAGAGAGAGGGGCGCTGTAACAGGGAAGGTTGGGATTAAATGTCAGGAAGACCTTGTTTCGTCATCTTCATCTTCCTCCCCCTAGACCTGTCCCCACACATTTCCTTGGAGGATTTTTGGGGATTGCCTTGAAGATAGACATTTCTCTTCCTAATGCATAGAAGTCGTGGTGGTGCTGGCTGTTGTCCCTGATCCCACACTTGGTAAAGACTCCACTTTACCAAGTTTGATGGTTTAAACCTGTAGTCCCAGCAGAGTTTAAGGCTGAGTCAGGAGGATCATTGTGAGTTTGAGGCTAGCCTTCGTTGGTTACAGACCCTATCTCAAAAAAAAAAAAAAAAAAAAAAAAAAGGAAAGAAAGAAAAGAAAGGGAGTCCTCTTTGATCTTTTGACATCAGGCTAATCTAAGGTCTGAAGAGCCTTGCTAACCTCCCCTGAGCAGGACTCCCTTACCTCTCTCCTGTGCCTGGGGCAGGCAGAGTGAGCCAGGACAGGGCTAGCCAGCCCTTCTGGTTGTTCCCAGCGTGGGTGGGTGGAGTCCCGGCTGGGAGGGGCTGCTGCCCCCGGCTTTCTGTGCTCCCTTGTTTCTGCTGCCTGTGACTCTCATTGGTGGAGCCCCTGGTCTTCCCTCGTTGGGCAGGATGCAGTTGGGGGAAGGGTGGCACGCAGGTGATGTTTTCCATCACCAAGCTCCTGGGTTGCACAGTTCCGCTGCCTTTTCTGCGAGAATCCGACATGGCTGTAGCTTCAGACCCCTCCCAGTTTGGTTCTCGTCTACCACTGGGAAACAAATCCCAGCAGCATCTGAATCTCACTATGCTTGGAAAAGCTTGCCTCTGCCATCCTCATGCATGTGCTTTGCTACCTCTGGGAGGAGGCCCTTGCTATCCTGGCAGAAGCTTGGGCTGCTGTGAGCCATAGCCACCATGTCCTTGGTTAAACAGCTTCTCCCAGGCTCCTGACAGGAGGGTGAGGTCATCCAGTCCAGAGAGAGGACAGGTGTCCCTGGCTCTGTGCCTGGAGTGGGGGGCAAGGAAGGGCCAGGAGGGGTCCAAAATAGCAACTGTGACGTCAGGAAAGGGGAGGAGGATATAGACCCAGGAATAACCAGTCTATTAAAAGGCTCCAGTGAGGTTAGGGGGCCAAGTGGGATCTCTTTATCAGTAGGAGGCACAATCTGGGGAGAAGGGGCAGATCAACAGTGGGGAGTGCTGGCAGGTGGCACCAACTTTGATGGTACAGTGGTCCCATGGCCCATGAAGGCCCAAAGAGCTGGGGCTACTCCACCAGGCCAGGATGCCAACAGCTTTATGACTAACTGGAAGACCTCCAACCCTAAGACTTCCTATTTGGGCACTGGACAGCCTTGTCCCTGGGCAGACTTATGTAGGTATCCCTTTTCCTGTCAGGTATGGTGGTCATAACCTCAGACCTCCATCCCTGTCAAAATGAGCAGCTCTGGGACCGGAGTGACTTTCATCTTGCTGTACCTCAGTTTCCCCATCTTGGCCCCTTTCTGGAGGTCGTGGTTACCATAAAGGCAATGGTATCTGTGATGCCCTCAGGACAGCACTGGTTATACTGCCAGGCAAACATCAACTGAGCTGAGAATGGGCAGGTGCTGTCCAGCCCCCTGCCTGGGCTGGGCAAGGCCTGCCCAGAAAGTCTTTCTGCTCCCTGGAAAGAAGCCGACTGCCAGAGGTGGCACTTTAGAATGGGTGGGAGAGAGCTGCCATCCTACTGCTATTTAGGGTCTCCCTGATAGTAAGAGTGTAGGGAGGCATCTCCCAGCTCTGTGGGAAGGCAGAAGTTAAACAAACTCCACAGGCTGTTAGGAGGAGGTGTGAGGTTAGACCAGGTGGTTGGATGTCTGTCACCTCTCCCTAGTCTTTTTGATTCCTTTCCTTGCTCTGCTCAGAAAGGGGGTAGGTAGCAGATTCAGGCTGGCTTCTTGGTGTCCAGTCCATTGTTTGCCCACAGCAGTAGCCAAGCTGATCCCAGATGCTGGGTCCCCTGCCTACACTCTTCTCCAGTCCAGCCACTGGCCACCCAGGGCTGGTGCCATGGCTCTGAAAACAGGCCTCCCCCCTCCCCCC